AACTAACAGACACAAAATACACATAGGTTCAAGTATCAGTAGTAACAGTTTGGATTACAAAAGACACAAAATTTAACCAACAGATGCACATGTGGTGTCACACGACCTACCGTGCACCACTTCACCGCTCCAAGGAAAGCATATTTTCTTCTCTGCATCTTTTAACTGGTATGCTGAAGTAAGCAGGAGTGACTTTACAAAGAATGATTTCCGTGACCACAGAACGGAAGAACTCCTATGCATGCAAGTAGTTTCTTAGTCCATCTGGAACGACTTTATCTGAAGTCACAGAGTGCTCCTGTGAATTAACTTAAAGTTTGTATACTTTGCTATATTCACAACTGCTCACTGGATTAATACAAAAGGTCGCAGGACCATTATCCAGAATGCCCACCAGGAATGTTAGTACTGCAAAAAACAGTTAACATGATAAACAAAAAAAAAGCCAAACAAAAAAATTATAAAAGATTACCCCAGACATTTAGCCTCATTCACACGAGAAACATGCGGCCCGTACAGATCCGTGCTGCGTGCATTGCTGCTCCCGGGAAGGACAGGTGCTGCGTGTGATTTTAACGCAGCAACCTGTCCTTCTCTATAGTACGCGGCCGTACGCTCACCCGACCTGCACGTCCGTACGGGTGTCCCTGCTTGGACGCAGACAAGATCCATCCTGTCAGCATACAAGAGTACGGACACCCGCACAGACGTGCAGGTCGGGTGAGCGTAGGGCGGCGTACTCCTATAGAGAAGGACAGGCTGCTGCGATAAAATCACACGCAGCACCTGTCCTTCCCGGGAGTGGCCTGGGAGCGGGACGGATCTGTACGGGCTGCGTTTCTTGTGTGAATGAGGCCTTAAACAAGGTAATAACTGCCAATTAGTATATTTCACATTAATGTTGTACTTGCACAATAAAAAAAAAGGCCGTGAATCTAAAATGCACAGTACCAATGAACATCTTTTTGATATTTAAGAGGCTTAGAAATCTGTAATGGACATATATGTGCACACTTTTTGATACTGCATATACATGAATGTTCTATGTAAATCAGCCATTTTAGGCTGCAAGGCTGCATGCAGTGGCTGTCTGGAATTAAACTGCCAAAGCGTGTCCTCTTCGAGTAAGATATCTTTAGTTTTAAAAAGCCTGCAACATTTTACATCCATATTTGTGAATGTTATTAAAGGTTTGTTAGACACATCAATTCAGAATGGTGTTTCAGGAAGCCTCTTTGGATTATCACCGACACTGTATATCACAAGTTGATGTACTTGTTGGAGTACGTTTAGAAAAGGCTACTGACTACTGTAAGTCAGATTCCCTTTTTCATGTTAGGTTACTTTGAGCATAATTTACTAAGCCAAGAAAAGCAGTTGGTTAACATCTAACAAGACCTAGACATAGTTACACGTCACATTTCTTTTGACACCAGAAAAGTGGATTAAAAGGAGAACTATGGGGTTAAGGCTTTTCCCCATAGTTCTCCTTAGGGTAACGGGAGGACACACACTAGCGTCCTCCCGTCACCCTAGGCTCAGTATACAGCTCGCGGTATACTGAGACGCCGCAGCGGATCCCGACAATTGTGCCGGGACCCGCCCAGCTGCGTGACTGACAGCTGGCTCTGCCTATCTAGAGGCAGAGCCAGCTGTACCCACCCCCTCCCACGTCCGTTCCGCCAGTCAGCGCTGACAGATAGGAGCGGGGAATCCAGCCCCTCCCCTGTCACGGCAGAGAGCCGTGACAGGATCGAGAGGTGAGCGAACGTCGGTATGTGTTCGCTCACCTCCCGATCTACTGAGCCGACCTGTGACAGTCTCATTGTCACAGGTCGGCTAGAACTATGAGGTGAGTGAAAAGCACTCACCTCATAGTTCTCCTTTAGTTTCTTGTTAGGCCCTGTGTCATATGAATTTATACTGATATAGTGATTCTGATCTGGAGCAAGTCTACGAGCAGTTATTACCTTATAATTTGCAGATGCAAAGTTTGTGAAAAGCATAAAATTCAATATTAAAAAAAAAAAACTAATTCTATTAAAATTGCTTTAAAACTTTTAAAATACATCATGTGTCACACATTTCTAAGAATGAGCTTATATCTTGTAAATATTAAATTCACACTAAAAGAAAAAAAAACATTATATAAACCACTAAAAACCCCAAAAACAAAAAAAAGCAGGAACATGGGAAGAATGTTATTGCAGTTCGCAGAAATCCATGGCGGAGGCCCAAGCTGATAGAAATGCAGTCTTTACATGGAAGGAGCTATGCTAACGATGCTACAAAAATGTAATACACAGAACCACAGAATGATTTAACACTGAACAAGCTTATTTGACTACAACAATGCAGTCATTAAGGAAGAGAACCCCTTTTACTTCAAGCGCGCTTCTAGCAAATCCTGCTGTTTAACAGTCAAATTTTAAAACCGGAAGAAAAAAAAAAAAAAACCTTCTGTATTCTTTATTATAGGTATGAGTACTGGTTGATGTTGGTTGGACTTAAAGGATATCCAGTGTAGATTGCAGAACCCCTCGAGGCACCAATATATGACTGTGTGGCAAACTGGTGTGGATACTGTGCAGGAGCCACACTGGCAGAGGTAAGTAGGCTTGGCCCCACGCTGACAGGGACCTGATGCACAAGAGTACTGGGATGTGTAGCGTAAGTTGTATGCCTTGAGGAGCCCTGAGGGGAAAACAGGTGAGCAATGGATGTAGTTGACCCCAGGGTTGCAGCAGACGTGGGAGCATATGTGTACATGTGAGGCTGGCTTGTTAGATGGCTGGTGGCCGACGCAGCTGCCGCAAGGTGGGGATGCACAGTGGAATGCAAAGGGCTGCTGTGCTGGAAAGTGAATGGTGCCTGAGAAATTGGTGGAAGTGGAGCAACATAGGCGTGTTGCCTACGAAGAGGAGGATTCATGCTTCTCTCTTGGGATCCTATTGAGGCTGACTGCTGGTTCTAGAATAAAACATAAATAAAAGGATTGAGCTGCCACAAAGCTATATGGTACTGATTTAAGAGAGAAATTTTTAGATTAACTACTACAAGGAACTATATTTGTTTATTTATTGTTTTATATACTTAACATTTTCCCTGCTAGAGCAAAAAAATTTTTTCATCCAGATATTAGGATTTAGATTTTTGGCTTGAAGACTTAAAAAGGTTAAGTATTTTATGAAAACAAAGGAGCTGTAGAAAATAAAATGATGGTAGTCACAATATTTAATGATTCATGATATTTATGCATAATATTACAATCTATTCTTCAATTTAAAAAATAGTTTTAGTGCACAAAAACAATATAACCTTTACATTTTCTATTTATGATAAAAAAACTAGACTGTGTTAAGCTTATAACTAGCAAATATTTTGTAAATATTATGCATAAATATAATAAAAAATTGTGACTACCATCATTTTAATCTACAGCTCCTCTGCTAAAGAAAATATATATTTATTCTGTTCAAATGCCAGCACTGCACACCCCCAACCAACTACAACCTCTCACATGTTTCACCCGAAGGCTTATTCATATAGGCCTTTGAAACATGTGAGAGGTTGTAGTTGGTTGGGGGTGTGCAGTGCTGGCATTTGTTGCTTTATACAATTTTTCCCTGATATACTGGATTTGCTGTGAATTTTAATAAAGTCTGCAGTATTGGAATTCTCTGGATAGTGCGGTCTCATAGAGGCCTCTATGAATAAGCCTTCGGTTAAAACATGCGAGAGGTTGTAGTTGGTTGGGGGTGTGCAGTGCTGGCATTTGTTGCTTTATACAATTTTTCCCTGATATACTGGATTTGCTGTGAATTTTAATAAAGTCTGCAGTATTGGAATTCTCTGGATAGTGCGGTCTGTTCGTATACTGCTAGGTTATAAAGGTAACTTCCAGTTTTCCAACATTACCGTACGAAAACATTGAGGTTTTTTTTAACGCATAGCTCAGAGATACATATCTCTGAGCTATGCGTTAAAAAAACCTCAATGTTACTACTGCTACTTTCCAACCTCGGAGCATGAAAAGGAGAAAATATTACAGACACTGCTGATTTGCTAAATGGGTAAAATATGTATTTGTGACAAACAAGACACATGTATATGATTTCTTACTTGACTGAGGTTGAGAGGCTGCACTCCATTTACCACGCGATGGGAGCGATAGCCCGTTTGAGAAATGCAACTGCCAGATGATTGTCCATTTGAAGACGTGGAAGATTTTGCCTTGCCGATATTGCCAAGACTACCTGCTACACAATTAAAGGAAAAATAATCACTGTGATTTGCAAAGAAAGTTTACTATACCCTTGCATGCTTTTTAAAGTGAAAATCTTAACCTTTAAAGTGTCTTACCTAAGAGCAGTCATAAAAAAAAAAAAAGGTGTCTCTTACTTTTGCTAGCTTAAAACACCCCACTATTTTGTGATTTAATTTTATTTATTAATTATAAGGGGCTTGACTTCTCATTTCAGAGCAAAGCCACAAATAACTGCCTGCTCTATGCCCAACTAAAGCCAGAAATCAGGGAACTAAAACCTCTCGTACAAGAGTTAAAACTTAAAGGATGTTCAGACACAGTTTTTTTGGGTAATAAATCTTGTAGCACCTGCAGTCAGGCAGGAATTTTAGATTTAAATGTTTAAAATGGTTGACAGAATCGCATTAAAGATGACCTAAAAACTTAAATAAAACAGGAGGAGAATAAGGAAGGTAAATAGATCAAGTAAATACTGATCTGCAAGGCCCCAACCTCCTGATCTGCTAGACTGGCAATTGCCAGTTTTTGTGTCACTCAAGACAATGTCAATATATTAACACACCTAATTCCAGGGAAATAAACTGGTCACAAAATTGAAAGTGGCCTGTCCTTGGATTTTCAGCTAGTAAACAGAGAATAAGACATATGATAACCATTACACAAAGTTTATTCTTCTTCCCCCAATTCTACAATTTGCCATAAAAATAAAATCTTTTTGGAAGGGCAAACACATGCATGTTTACAGACAGACATTGGCCCATTTCACAACCCCTACTGGATTCTATCATGAACATATTCTATCATATAAACAGGGCGCACATACAGTATATGATGCAGCACAATTATGTGATGCAGCAGTTTAACATCACTGGAATAAGCTACGGAGCACATCCATGGTGTGCATATCAGTCTTAATTCAGCACAGACGTTAAATACACACAGGCTGGCATGCATATGCCAACCATACTAAGCACCAATGACTGCGCATCTAAAATTGTATGTAGTGCTGACAGTGCTTACATAGTGCATTACAGAAAACATGGAAACAATCAGTTCCATTGCTTCCTGTTCCAATTGTTTGTCTTACTGACAGGTGGACTTTTAGAATTGACACAATTGTACATTTAATTTGGGAAACATACCTGACAGGTGATTATTAAAATTACACTCATGAATTTGGGTCTTTAGTGGAGGCACAATAATTGTGCGGGAGCTGGAATTCTGTGGATGTGCATGAGTGCCTCTGCTTCCAGGAACATCAAAAACACCATTGATGCCATTAAGGTTTGAAAGGTGGTCAGCCACATAAGGACTGTTGACAGAGGAGTCTGAATCTGGAGAGTCATTCACCATAACGTAGCTTATAACATTAGATCTCATCTTCATCCCAGAGCTAAAAACAAAAGCAAAAATTGAATGGTTACAAAACATTAGCAACCTAAAAGTACAATATTCCACATTTAAACCTACAGCACTTCTTATAGTTGATAGTGGTTTATGGACATGGTGGCTAAGCCTTAGCAATCACATTCTCTCTACATTACAAACATGCCAAATAGACTAACGACAATCTCCAATTATAACCTCTCATGCCTTACATAACACTATACAAACAGCCAGGATGCACAGTAAGACAGAGCAACCAATCCAAAATCAGTTTTAGTGTGATTTAATGCAACTTTTAGTACCCATAAATCTGCTGTAAGCAGTTAAGTGTGAACTGTAAAAGCAGTAGCGATGGCCATACACTGTGCGAATTTCGGACAGTTCTTGAGGAACGAGCAGAAATTTGCAGCGAGTACTGCTGCCGCCAACCTTTCAGCCGCCATCCCTTGATCAGCTGATTGAAGGAGTCGGAAATTCAGAGTTAGGACTTACCGGTAACTCTATTTC